GTTTTTTTTCTAAACATATGGACTCAGCTTTTACTGTTAGGTAGGTGGGGACCCCCATTTCATCATTCTGCTTCATTCTATCTCTGTTCTCCTATTCTGCAGAATCTGTTAGTTCAATCTCTAACCTTCTGCTCTCTCTGCTTTTTCTCATAGTAGCTTCATCTGGTCTGTTTCTGTTTGGCTGTGACTCCATCCTGGAGAGAAATATCAGCTGTGCTGCTGCCATCAACACCTTTGTTTATAGATGTTGGAGATCTGCCTGTTTTCCAGTGTAGTCCTGTTTCTCTGACTGTGACTAACTGGATGTGCTCTCTTCATCCTCTGGCATGGGAGCTGGCTCGGAGCTCGTCTGACTGGCTGTGTGTTTCCTGGACCAGGCCGCCTTTTACAGCTGCTTTTTGTATCTCTGCTTCTGTCTCCTTAAACCCCAGTCGGCCTCGGCAGATGGCCGCTCACACTGAGCCTGGTTCTGCTGGAGGTTTCTTCCTGTTAAAAGGGAGTTTTTCCTCTCCACTGTCGCTACAAGCATGCTTAGTGTGAGGGATTGCTGAAGAGTCAATGAGTCGATGCAATCATATGGTTTTCCTTAGATAGAAAACTTTGAATCAATTTGATATGTTGTGAATTGGCGCTATAGAAATAAACTGAATTGAATTTAATTGAATTGTTACTTCATTTATGTTCTCTATTTCATCCCTTAGACATGAAAGTAGCTTATAGTTAATCTGCTTAACTGTTTCTATCATAGACAAAGCCACCTGGGGAGCTAGGTTACTGTTACGTTTTCCAACATTAAAAGTATTTTGGGATCAGTTCTTCTATGTTCCCAGTTAGCCTCGGCAGAAGGCCGTCCACTCCGAGCCTGGTTTTTCTGGAGGTTCCTGCTAAAGGGCGCTTTTTTTCTCCCCACTGTCGCTGCTTTCTCTGTATGAGGGATCCCTGTAGAGTCAAAAACACAATGCAAGTGAATATATACCAAAGCTGGCCCTGCAATGGACTGGCGACCTTTCCAGGGTGTACCCCGCATCTCGCTCGTAGACAATTTGGGGCACAGACAACCTTTCTCCAATAAATCATAAAAACTAATTGTTAAAAGTTCATGAATTCTGTATTCATCTTCTTTATTTGTGGTATGTAAATGTAGTTCCTTTATTGCCCCAAAATGGGGAAATTTACTCTCTGCATTTAACCCATCCCCTTGGTGAGCAGTGAGCTGCCACTGTGTGGCGCCGGGGGAGCAGTGTGGGGTTAAGGGTCTTGCTCAAGAACCCAGAGTGGAGGCTGTGGGAATCGAATCAGGTAGATAAATGGTGCATTTACCTGCTGTGAAAACTTAATTCTTTTAATGTATCCAAACCATTTTATGACTTTTATTGTTCATTTATTGAAAGTCTTTCAAGTCTCTTACCTTCAGCCTTTTATAGCAGCCATGGATGTCAAACTCAAGTCTTCGTGGGCGGGTATCCTGCGACCTTTTGATATGTCCCTGATCCAACACACTAGAGCCAAGTGGCTTAATTAACCCCTCAGCATACAGTCAAGTTCTGCAAAGTTCTACCAAGGAGCTGATTATTTGATTTAGGTGTGTTGAAGAAGATACATATCTAAAAGGCGCAGGATACCTGCCCTTGATCACTGGAGTTTGAAATCTGTATTCTCCAGCCTCTGAACCAGAAAGCCTTCATATACACAAGTCCTTTGAAGGATACGCAGCTACTTGGATGATCAGTGAAGAAAGCACTACCCTTTGAAGCTAATTTGGTCTATATTTAAATTCTCCAAAACAAACCTTAGTTGTTATACAAACATACTGAAACTGTGATATTACTGCATCGATATTGTCAGCTATTGGTTTATAGTTTTCTTTCTCTATTGTCCTTTTTGCAAGTTTTTTAATTAACTCATTATTTTTTTACTGTTTATGTTTGCAGTGATTTCAGTAAAAAAATTAAAAACTATATTTTTGTTGAGATCACTGAGTCTGGGAGCGGCCATTTTTGCTCAAATATAGCAACGCCTCAATTCAGCCATTATCCGGCAGTGACGTCACGGTGCGGTAAGCCTAGCGCCATTCTCCCCGCTTTACAAGCTAAATCAATGGGAACTACTAGACACATCTGCAATCAACAACAATTATTGAAGATTTCCAGAGGACTTCACCATTGAAATTCACCAGAGCTATAGTGAAACTGACAATGCCCACGTGCATGGCAGCTGGATGCTGGAATACATCGGGTAAAAGTGAAAAAAAGAGTTATTCCCCCTTTCTGATTCCTGATCCTCCACGGACGGGTTGGTCGTTGGATCGCCGACTTGAAGAGGGAGGATTTGCCATCGAACTTCTGGCCAGAGAAAAAACCCGTAATATGTAGCCAACATTTGGAAGAAGAATGTTTTCAAGATGACTTGGATAATAGCGCGTTGTGACAAACACCAGATACAGCACTGGGACTTGATCAACAGCCGATACCGCACCGTGACGTCACTAACCAGTAGGTGGCAGTAGTGTTCTTTGACAAACATGGATGCCTCCATTAAAGCACATTCACATGAAAATTACTCTGAATTAAAAACGCTTATCATTTATTAAACAGTATGTAATAATTTCATATTTAAAGTAGAAGTTTGAATTCTGAATTTGAGCAGACTTTCTACTTTAACACATTTTTGTATTGTATTGAAAGCTATAGAATTTAAACCTTCGAGCTTTCCCGAGAAGAGATCCCAGGGAGCAAACACTTTATGTTATATAAAATGGCTATAAATGGACTTACATAATCATGAAGGGCACTAACTAACACTTGAAGTCCCACCCTGCCACGCCATCACATCACATACCTGTTCTTTGTAAATGATGAGACATTTCTGGCTCCAGCCTAATCAACATAATGGATAAAGTTTTTAGATCAAGAACAATCGGATGCACACTGGCAGACCTTTCTCTGTTCTGATTTATAACCTCTGTCTGTTAAATAACCTCGATAATTTATAGTGTTAAACACTGGTTAGGAAACTATGTACATCAACTAATATTAAAGGAATAGTACACCCAAAACATGATTAGCCTTCATTTTCTACTCACCCCCATGCTGAACAACACTCTGGAGTACTTTTTGATATCTCAAATGCATCTGGAGATCTGGGAGGCTTCTTGCTGTCTGCTGATATTCAAATAATGGAGGTCTATGGTGCCCGAGACAGAAAGGTCCATAAAAGTCCACAAAAAACGTGTCAATATTCCTCCATACTGCTCGTCCAATGTATTCCAAGTGTCCTGAGTGGGTAGCGTCCATAATTTACTCGAAACGAAGTCATTTAGAATGTTTTTAGAGCATAAACAGTAGTGTATAGGATTTCCTAAAAGCGCGTTCACGAGTCTACGGAAACCGCGGCAGACCAAACCAGCGCATTCAGCTCGGCAAAGAACTCATGCTCTTCCTCAACACTGAAGTCCTCAGACATTTTTCTTTCGTTGTTTCTTTCTTTGCACAGGTAAACAGCACATTTCTTCTTCTACGCTTGCATTATCGGCAGACGCTGAATGCGCACTTTCATCTGGTTTGGTCTGCCGCGGTTTCCGTAGACTCGTGAACCTCCATTATTTGAATGTCAGCAGACAGCAAGAAGCCTCCCAGATCTCCAGATGCATTTGAGATATCAAAAAAGTACGCCAGAGTTTTGTTCAGCATGGGGGTGAGTAGAAAATGAAGGCTAATCATGTTTTGGGTGTACTATTCCTTTAACAGGTAGGGTATATTAGGGTTTAACAAGAACGTACATCAATGATCCTAACCGTATTTATTTATTTTTGAGTTTTTGCTGCACTAGTGGCTTGTTTTTTCTACAGTAGGCTTACAGGGTGTGAGAGACGGGGAGAGACATGCGGCAAAGGACCACAGGTCAGGTTTGAACCCGGGTCAGCCGCATTGAGGACTAAGGCCTCAGTACATGGGTCATGCGCTTATAACCGCAGCCCCACTTGTACGCCCCACCTAACAGTATTTAAAGAGAAATTGTTTGTTTGTGCTCTATTTGTTTGTAGAGGTTGCTGTTTGAGAAAACCAGTAGGCAAATTGTTGTAAAATATTGAAAAAGGGAATGACGTGTAGTTGACTTTCCATTGTTGTTACGGATGTTTGTCCGGGAGGAGTGACTACTGCAGATTAGTCACTAGATAAAATCAGCTAGATTTTCTCAGATAAAAACTTTTTAATAGCTTTAAAGCTTTCATTTTATAGCAGTAAAAGCTGATAGATCCTTTTTTAAATCAAATATAAAACATTTCTAATTGATAGGAATAAGTTCAATTTACACAAACTGATGTATTTAAATCTATGAATATGGAAATATGTTTTACAGATTGTTAACCAACTTACAGGGAGGAAAACAGGGCGACCACTAGATCTTTTCTGATCTGTTTCTCAGTTCAAACGTCCTGATTCCACCTTTATAGCAATCCTCCCATAAGTTAGATTTGTCTGTCATTTTAAAATGCTTTTTTTATTTATTTATTTAACCTTTATTTTACCAGGAAGTCCCTTGAGATAAAATCTCTTTTTCGAGGGAGAACTTTACCAACGGTTCTCCAGATGTTCTGACATTTCTTTTTTGGGTGCCTCCTATTTTCTTATTATTAGTTTATTCATTTTAATCATCATTTAAGGATAAAAAGGCTCCTGACGTCGAGAGAAGAGCCAATTTATAATGCTACTTTACCAAAAATTAGATATTTATAAACACTGATTTTATTTAAAATGACAAAATTTTAAACATTTTTAATCCTACAAAAAAGGACAAAGTCTAAAGAAAGAAAAATATTTTAATCCAATATAATTTCCGCAGAGAATAAATGCATTCTAAACATTATCTGATAATTCAGCATTAAAGTCTGTAATGCTTAATAAACCAGTTTGACCACAGAGGGGCGCTGTGCTGAGGAATCCCTCATCCTGAAGGGAGAGCTCCATCCCTCCCACTGTTCCTCCCCCACCTGTGTGCAGGTCAGCCAGGTGTATAAAGGAGCCTTTCTCTTGGTGGAAACAGACTCCAACAGATTCACACACTGAGATCTTTGTCACAAACGGCCGGATTTCCTCCAGGAAGATGGAAACGCCGCTCAAACTCTGCATCATTCTCATCATTTTCTCCTCAGGTAAATAAAACAAACTCAGTTTAAGATTTTAATATCAAGCTGTTTGACTGCAGCTTAAAGGGGAATGAAAAACTTTGAGCATGAGAAAGTTAGCACCGATCTTTTGAAGGAATAGAGGATGAAAGCTTTGGTCCCATTTACATGCTGAGAGAAGGAAAGCTCACAGATTAATTGCTAAATATATTTCAATCAGAACCAACTCATTTAAACCTGCAAAAACTTTTCAGCTAAAGTTTTTTTTCCATTTTTACTTTAGTTCTAGGTGAAAATGAAAGGATCTAAAACAAACAGGAAAAAATTATCTTTAGTCAGCCTCATTTCTAAAAGCTTTGTTGTGAAGCTGCACCAGTATTCATCATTGTATCCTTCAGTCATAACTGCAGTATTAATGTGTGTAATACATGCATTGCAACGGATCCCTGCTGTGTTTATTAGGACCATACCGTAGAGTCAATATTGGGTGATGGTTGAAGCTGCATAAAGGGATTTTATGCATGTTGCTAAAGCTGATTGGCAATAGGGACAAGTTAAGATAATGTGGCCCAATTTAACAGAAATGTTCTCCCAGGACTCAAAAGTAGTTGAAAAATACTTTTATAGTTATATGTTTTCAGTATTATTCTGTCCTAACTTAGCCTCTTAACTTCCATCTCATTTTGGGAAATTCTCGCCTATTTTGCATCCCCAAATGGAAAAGCAAATAACTTAAGAGCTGTAAGTCCAACATTACATGTGCAATACATTATTTAAAAGCTAACACCCTCTAGTTTCTCAATATATAAATTAAAATTGGGTGAGTAGAACACAAACCAAGCTGCATCAGTTCAAACATGACTCAAAGTAGTTTTTTTTATTCTCAGAAATTATATGTCTTTTTTTAAACAGCACTAATAAAGACATGCTTGAGAAAAGGCAGGTCTCGTTGTATTATATTTGTTCTACCTCATTTCAACCACAAATGCAGAAAATTCCAGACCTCTACAGTAGCTATAACAGTTCCAGAGCTTTGGGGTTTTGAACTTTTGGTGTCACCAAATCTCTAAAAATGTGCCAAACACTTTTACTATGCTTTGCTTTACTATTTGACCCATAGAATAACACTAAAGCCTTTTGATGGCCACAAAACATTTATGAAGCAAGTATTTTCCACTGTTTTTCAGAATCAGAGTATATAAATGCTGAATTTTTACACCTATAATAACAACATAAAAATCTATAAAGATAGTGGAACTGCGGCTTTTCAAGCCAGTGCCTTTTCTGAGCTGTATTTTCCAATATTTATCGATAGCCTCGTGAGATCATCCTGATCTCGCGAGCTTTCAAGATTTCACTCGCTAATCAGTCTGGAGACTCTGGAGACAATCAGCGTTGGCTTTGAGGTGGGTTGAGGTGTGACGCAACGAGAAGCGCCACAGTTCAGTCTAAAGTACATGGCAGCTTCAGACGATGAAACTAGCGTTAGCGTGGCTATCGAGCAAGTTTTATGGGAATTACAGAGTATTTCTTCACTGAAAGAAGAGCAAAACACTGCTCTGGAGGCTTTTCTCAGAGGAAAAGATGTTTTTGCTCTTCTCCCGACTGGTTTCGGCAAGAGTTTGATCTATCAATTGGCTCCTCAGCGTCATCGCTCTGTTAGTACGTCATATGCTTCGTTGACCTGATTGGTTTATTTGGCCCGTCTATCACCAACATAGGCCAATCAGCTAACCAGTATTTTCGCCCCTTCCCAAAATTACTTCAACGGAAGGTTTCCAGATGGATATGCGGAGCAAATCCATCTGGCGGAGTCAGGTTAATATATCGAGGCCCTTGGCTTGAATCCAGCCAGCTATCGTTAAGGAAGCACATGTTCTTTTAAAGTGTACAAACTACCTGACCAGCGCTCTTTGTAAAAGAAATGTAGAAATTAAGTTGCATTTATTCTAGCTGTAACTTAGACACTTAGACTTAGACTACACAGAGTTTATACAAAAAATGGTTATGTATAGCTTTAAGAACATTACCATTCTTTAAAATGCAGCAGTGATCAAATGTAAATATGTGCGAGAGAAAAAAGAAGCAGGAAATGGAAATGAGTTTGACGCACTAGATGATCTGAAAAAAAAAAAGATGTCTAATTGGAAAAGCCTTTAACAGACTCATCATGATCATTTTTTCCTATTTCCTCCAGGTTCTAATAATTCTTTCTTCTTGAAAAAACTAAAACCATATACTAGCAAGAGAGTGTTATGGTATTAATTTTCTTTATCAGGGGAAAAAAAGATTTTGTGGTAAACAAATTGTGAACCATTTTTAAGAGGATAAGGATACATTTTATGGAAGCAAATCATTACCATATTTCAAATGAAAAAGCATTTTCAGAAATGCTTTTTCATTTTAGGAATGTGGCTGAATTGTTTGTTACAAATGAAATTAGTAATCAATAATCCTGTTTGCATTTTCATTTTCTTCTTTAACACTGCTCATCCTTTTACTCAATTAAAATGAAAAAGAAAAAGACATTTGAGATTTATTTTTCAAAATGTACCCCAGCAAATACATACCAAAATTCAATTTGAAATGTGAAATTTAAACATTTTAAGAATGTGGCTGCATTATTTGACTCATAAATGAAATTAGTAATCAATCATCCTATTTGCATTTTCTTCTTTAAGACTGCTCATTTTATGCCATAATCAAAGAGAAAACACAGCGGACATTGCTTTTTCGTTTTCGTAGTCTGCCTGTAAAGTACTGTCCATAACTCGAAAACGAAAAAATATTCTGAGCGGCGGGCGCAGCAGAGTGATGTCAGCAGCCCCTCTTCCTCATTTCCTTGCTAGATGGGCTACCCATCTTGTTCGGTAGGGGGCGCTGTGCACGTCTGCAATGCATTACATTGCATTACATAGAGGCAGATTGTTTGATTGCTTTTTTTTTTTTTTGCATTTTAACCAACTTTAGGATAAGAGCCAGAAATTGTATTTAACTTGAATTTAAGCAACACTAAGTCATTTTGTAACTAGTATTATCTTATTTTGAGCTATCGTAATGATTATTCAGGTCAATAAAAAGCACCTGCTCTGTGCAGGCTGCCCTTCTTAAAAACTCACCCATGTAAGCGTTAGAGGGGTGGATATATTACTGAATTAGTCATGGGACCCAGAAAGCCAAAAACAAGAACAGAAAAAAAATGCATCGAAATAAATATGAAATTTGCCTGATCAGACATATTGTTGGTTCTCTGATTCAATTTAATCCAGAGAGGTTCAGTATTTTTTTCTTTACTAGAAACTCCATGATTTCTCAATCTGCTGGTCCAAACTAGGTTTAGCGCCCCCGGTGGCTAAAAATGACACAGCTCTGCTTTAAAGTTGTCTAAAGTCTAAAAAGACTAAAATATCCTTTTCTTGCAGCTGGATTCATTCAGCAGTTGAAACCCAAAATACTGATGACAAAATGGCGATATAAAGATGATCCGTTCAACTTGACAATTAGAAAATAGAAAAATATCAATAATTAAGCATTAATAAGCTTTTAAAGTTTTCATTCTCTTTTTTATTTTCTAATTACATCTCCAGACGTGTAAAATTTAAAGTATAGAAAATATTTTGGTTGATTATGATGAATTAAATATAACCTAGATTTAATTTTGCTTATGTATCATCTGTTTTTCTTTTTTTTATTTGTTAGCATCGGCTCAGACCCCCACCTCAGTGACCAGCAGCCAGAATGCTACTGTAACAAACACCACCACGACCCAGAACACAAACGCAATTAACAACTCGACTGTTTCTGTTACTTCAAACATGGCAACAAACCAGAGTACAACCCTCTCAACTCCAGCTAACTCAACGACAAACATGACCACGACCCTGAGCCCAAACTCAACAACTGCTTCAAACCTGACCACAACTCCCAGTACAAACTCAACATCAACAGTCAATAATGTCACAGGTACATCCACCGTCAACCTGACCACAACTCCCAACACAAACTCAACATCAACAGTGGATGTCAATGGTACATCCACCGTCAACCTGACCACAACTCCCAGTACAAACTCAACAGGCAATAATGTCACAGGTGCTTCTACTGTGAACCCAACCGCTACTTCAAGCACTACAAGCACAACCCCAACAATGACACAGAGGCCCAACCCCACCACAAACCCATCGACCAGCCTTACAACCAGCACTGCCTCCAGCGGCGACAGCAGCGGCGACAGCAGCGGCGGCGGCAGCGGCGGTGGGGTTCCTGGATGGGCCATTGCCCTGCTGGTTCTGGCTGCTTTGGTTCTACTGCTGCTCCTCCTGTTTCTTATCGCTCTGGTGAGTGAACAAATAATCTGCATAATGAACCTTTGGATTATTCCATTTTATCTTTGTTTTATTTCATTCTTATTTTCCATATCAAGATGCTCTTATTTGAATTTTCTGCTTTTACTGTCATTTGCTGGTGAAGATTCTCAGTCATCCAGGTCATAGCAATTTCAAAAAAGTAAAAAAAAACAACAATCCTCTGGACTTTGTTTCCAAGTTTGAAGACGTTTCGCTTCCCATCCAGGAAACTTTTTCAATTCAAAGCTGCAATAGAGTCGATTCCTTCCCGCTATCATCCCCAAACCCATGCAGGGGAAAAAAACCATCCCCAACAATTACCCCTAACGACCCCCCTTTCAGAGGCATAGACCAGTATCAGGTATTGCAGGCTAAAAATAACCCAAACACTCCACATTTGTAGGGGTGGACCCATTCTTTTGGTTTAATTTGCGTGGTTTCTGGACTACTATATAAAGGCTTCAAACTCAACGCTAATTCTGACATTTAACACACAATGTTAAACCGATATTTGGTGTCAATACTTTGTAAAACAATCTGAAGCAGAAATACATTTAAAAAAATAATCAAAGGCCATAAGGATTGACTCTTCTCAGTCAGGGATTATCTGCCAGACTTTTTTACTTTTTAACAGTTTGTAGTCTCAAACAATCAGAAAAAACAGCTCTCACACCATTTGAGGTGCACCATCTCTGAATAAGGAAAATAAAATCAGTCTGGGTGCATCTCTTGATTACTTTTCTCTATTTCAGAATCAAACTTTTTCATATCTTAAGCATAATAAACCTTTAGATAAAAAATATCAGTATGTAAACAATTTCCAAAATATCTGATGAATTTACCAAGTCATGATGATCTGAGTGGCACCTGTAATTTGTCCATCACCATTTTCACCAGGATGCAAAGAGGTTGCCAGCATATACATCACGATGCACAAATGTTATCACTTCTCTAAAGGAATGCTCCCACAGAGTTCGGCATATTTGACTCTGCAGGCCTCTGCACGCACTCAGGATACACTTCTGCTCTTACTCAAAGCGGACGTCCACCAGCCACGTCTGCTCAAAGCTACATTTTTACAGCTGCATATGCATGCTCCATGTCAAGAATGAAATGAACCACCAGAGGTGTATAAAGTACTAAAGCACAAATAAAAATACTGTAACAGAAAATTACTTTAGTAAACCTGAAAGTCAGCGATAAGAAGAAACTATAGTTGTCATATTTTTTTTATAAAAGAACAAAGTCCTGGTTAATTAAGGGCATAGGGCTTTGAATCTTGAGGTTGTAATTTCGATCCCCCACTCCCACAGACTGTCACTCTGGCTCCCTGAGCAAGACCTTTAACCCCTCACTGCTCCCCAGGCGCCGCACAATGGCAGCCTACTGCTCCCCAAGGGGATGGATTAAATGCAGAGAAGTAATTTCCCTCTGGGATTATTAGAGTATATTAAAAAGATATATCCAAAAGTTATTAATCAATAAATAAAAATGGTTCACCTGTGACATCAGCACTGTGTTTCTGATGGAACGCATGGGTGTTGGTTGCCCCAATGGAAATCTATAAATCTTTCGTTTCACTTTTAAAAGTTTAGAATCATATTATTTATTGATACAACTTAAAGAATATTAGTCAGAAGCATCCGATGCAGGTCAAGCAGTTTAAAAAAGCAGCTTCTTCTCCACTGCCATTAGACTGCTTAATTTTTAATAAAATTGGTGGGTGAAGGTTGAAAAAACTTTAAATTATATCTCAGTCTTAGGCTTATATTTGATCACCATGTTATCACTGCTGCACTTTAGAAATGGAAATGTCTTGACAGCTGTACGAAACTAAATCTCGTTTTGTATACCCTCTGTGTGTACAAAACGATAATAAAGTTTGTCTAAGAATATCATTCACAATAATTAGGAAAGTGAAAGTACCCGGTCATAATGTACATGAAAGAAGCAAATCAAACAGCTTTTGTTGGTCCCTTTTCTTGGCTTAAGAAAAAACAATAGAGGAAGAATTTGTTGAAAACCTGCTTTAGCCTTTAGGAAACACTCAGTTCAAACGGTACTGACAGGAAGGATCCAGAATAACACAAAAGCCATTATGTAGAATGACATTCATTCACAACTGTCCGCCTGAGAAAACTAAAAGTGTCTTCTGAAATGTGTCCCCTCTGTCTTGGAGAGAAAAAAAAAATTATTGAAGTGTATTGTGTCAAAATAAAGGAAAATAAAATACATTTTATTACACTTTACCACCAATTTTAAGAATGGTTTAGCAGTAACTTGGGTTTACCAGCTTTAATCTCAATTCAATTCAGTTTATTTATATAGCGCCAATTCACAACACATGTCAGCTCAAGGCACTTCAAGCACAAGATTTAAAATGAAACTTAACTGTACAGATGACTTTTTCCCCCTCTGGAGATATAAAATAAATCAAAATGTGTTTTCTTTTTAGAAGCGTAGTCATAGAAAACGAAAGAATCTTGGCAAAAAATAATGTGGCGTATTATTGCTAGTAAAGAGTTTTGAGCAGGATGAGCAAAATTCTTCTATTCATTACTTTAACAGATTCTTTTATAATAATTCTGTTAATTTTTTTATTTGTAGTTAGCAGCAATGTCTCCGATTTTTTAAGTAAAGAGGTAAAAGTGTCATTTTTATGTCTGTAATGTAAGAAAATAAAAGTAAAACCCTCAATTAAAAAACTCAGTATAGGACAGATCTTAGAAAAAAAATTACTCAAGTGAGTTCAAGGATAATATATATGTTTGGGAGAAGGTTCTGCTCTGTGGGAAAATGACTTAAATGTCTACAGATATGTGTCCGTACAGCAGCTCGCCCATATAAAGTCAGAGTTACTGGACTTGTGCTTCATTTTTCTCTGTTAATTCAAAGTAAAATCAGTGTGAGCTAATACTATACGTCTGCTGAAAATAGGGGTGTAAATCACAACCATCATGGCGATTCGATTCAGTATCGATTTCCTGACTCAACGATTTGATTATTTTCGATACTCAAGAATACACCATGATACGATTCGGTTCGATTAATTTGTTAATTTTTTAATTTTTTTTACACCTTACAGGCTAGACAATGTTTCAAATTTGAATCAATGAAAGCTGTAATATCGTTATGCATTTTTTTTTGAGAAACAACAGCAAATAACAGAAGTAGAAAAGTTGCACTTCACCTATTCCTATTAAAACCTCATTCACTGAAAAATAATCATGCCCAGGCTCCAGACGTCCCGCTCCCTCCGCAGACGCTCCGCTGCTCCTCTCCCAAATTGTAGCTGACCGCAGACAGTGCCGCAGACAGGAGGCCGGCTTGTTTTGTTTTTATGACCGAAATTGCGGAAAACAACTTGAGGAGTTCGACCCGCTAGAAGAGCGAGGTGCGCGAGAACGCTGGGACCCTTTTTCCACCTGGATCTCCGCTCTTTTTGGCCCTCATGTCCCTCCGTCGTCGGACTAAACTCGCCCCCACTTCCTCGCCATATCTAGACCCACAGCGTGTACCACAGACCACGCTTCAATACTGGCCATAAATCAAAAATGTCTGCATCAAGCTCACTGCAACACACTGCTGTAAGAGTATAACCAGGAAGCGAGGTAGGAGGGCAAAATAGGTTTAGCGCCACCGCAGCACGGGAGGGAGAATTACGCTCAGGAGCAAATGGATAAAAATAGACCGGAGGAAAAAAAAAACATGAATCGATTCTCTTGCGGATGTATCGATGCATCGGATTGTCGGCTGTTGGATCGATGCATTGATAAAAAATGTTTATTATTTACACCCCTAGCTGAAAGCAGTATTTTTGCGAACCCATTTTCATATGCTCAGGATTCACCTGTTCGGTTTGCAGTCAAGTGCAAAGTGGCTGGGGTGAGAATCAGCTCCTCTAAGTACAAGGCCATGGTTCTGGAACCACAAAAGGTCGAAGAACAGTTCCTAACTTGTGGGGGAGTTCAAGTTATCTGGGAGTTCTGTTCATGGGAGAGGGGACAATGAACTGGGAAATAAATAGATGGAACGATGCGGTGCGGCTGCCGCTATGATGCAGACACTGCAGTGGTCCTTCTGGTGAAGAGAGAACTGCTCGAAAAAGCAAAGCTCTCCATCTCCCCGTCGATCTACGTTCCTACCCTCAGCTATGGCCATGGAATCTGGATCCTGACTAACAGAACAAGATCCTTTATACAATTGGCTGAAAATAGCTTTCTTCCCTTAGAGAAAGGGTTAGAGTAGAGTCGTTGTTCTGTCAGATGAGCATAACCAGTCAGACCAGCATACTCATAGTCAATACCCGTTTATCCCTTTAATTTATCCCTTTAGTTTTGTACAAAAAATAACTTTAAACTAGATCAAAATTCGTGTATCCCTTTAGTCATGTACAAAAAAAACTAATCAATTCATTACTTTTGGGTGCTTTTTGAAGTGTATGGTGATCTGACCTTAGATTGTTTGTACATGAGGGGATATACATGAAGGGACAAAAAGGGATACACTCCTGTCGAGGTAGTTTAAAGTCTATTTTTCATTCAAAACTAAAGGGATAAATGCAAAACTAGCATCTTGTGCATGCATATTGACTATGGGTATGCTGGTACGCTTCTCCTCCATCTCAAAAGGACTCAGCTGAGGTTCAGCTGCCTCCTGGACGCCTTCCTCCTGAGGTGTTCCAGGTACGTTTCTCCAGTGGAGCTGGAAGAAATAGGGAAGTCTGGGAGTCTCTACTAAGAGTGCTGCCCCATAAGCAAAGTACAAGCAAAGCAAAGTACAGCGAGGACAAGTATGGGTACACATATGCATACTTCCCACCAGGCAAAAAAGACGACATAATTTACATCCAAACAATGTTGACATTTGGTTGAAAAGTCAAAGGAAAAGGCCCTAATTGTGAGAACATTGAAAAGACGGAGTTTGGGTTTTCAATGTCTTTTCAAAGTCTGTTATAGGACTAAAGAAGGACAAAATCAGGCCGACCAAACACAGCCCAATTTCCACAACTGTTTCTGGACTTAATCAAGACTATGACAGACCGACCAATTTACCTTAGAAACACCGACTGAGTGATGTCTGCTGTTTGGGGAGTTGGTGTTACACAACACAATAAGTTACTTGGTAGAAAAATTCCCTTGAATAGGAAATGTCTTCAAACTGGACTTTGTTTCCAAGTTTGAAGACGTTTCTCTTCCCATCCAGGAAGCTTTTTCAAATTCAAAATGTCAGAAATAAGTGTTGAGTTCAAGGCTTTATGCAGCAGCCCAACAAAGCCTTGTTTTTGTTTAGAAAACATGCAAATAGAAAAAGATGAACGAGTCTACCCCTTTGGAATGGGGGTCGTTTGGATTCTTTTATTAGCCTGCATGTCTCTGAAAGGGCGTCATTAAAGGGAAATGTTGGCCATGGCTGAATAGGTGAGGTCTTCTGCTCTTCTATAAAGGTGTTGGGATTGCAATGATTGCGGGAAGGGACCAACTCAATTACTGCACTGTAGTTTTTTGAAAGCTGGAATCTGAGTCCACCCCCTCTGTTAATGTTTGTTGTTTTCTTTACACAGATGGCTTCCTTCACGCTCCTCTCAAACTACCTATTTTCTTTGTCCAAAATGTGAACATTCTGGTCCTCAAATGAATGTCCTTTGTCCATAAGGTGTAGATGTACTGCAGAGTCTTTTCCTGAGGAGGGCGCTCTTCTGTGTGGGGCCATCCGTCTGTGTAGATCAGAGCATTCCTCTCTGCATTGAACTGCAGACACCGCTCTGCTCATATTTGGTCTGGGGGTTTGGTCCTTAGGATGCACTAGCCTCTGTTTAAACAAAAATAAGGCTTTGCTGGGCTACTATATAAAGCCTTGAACTCGACGTTATTTCTGACATTTTGAATTGAAAAGCTACCAAAATATCTTCCGAAGCGAAACATCTTCATAATTGGAAACAAAGTCCCATGGATTGTTTTTTGACTTTTTTGGAGTGCAGTAGGAGTGTAGGAAATTTACGAAATTGACACTGTCAACATTCAAATCTTCCTGGACACTTTGTTTGGAGTCAATCTCCTACATACAGCAGCTACACCCAAGGCTACGGAAGCCTTTAGATGCTAACCCATCAAAGGTCACCGTCTGGCTACACCCTCATCCAATGTATTGTGTCTAATGACTTTGATCCTGTCTTTGATGTCATGTCAGTAAATCTATTTGTTGTCTCTGCAGCTGGTGTGGTTCTGCTGCTGCAGACACAGAAGCAGCTTCAGTCCCTATGCAAACCTGAACAACATGGACAACGTCCCGATGTACACCACCCACACCCGGTTCGTTGGGACCAATGCTAGAGAACAAGTGAGTGAGGCGTTCACGTCACCACTGGTCTGATCTGCAGCCGAATCCTGATACTTGGTTTCGTTTTCAGAAGAAATGTTGTTTCCTAAGAATCGGAACTCAATTCAATTCAAATCAGTTTATTTATATAGCGCCAATTCACAACACATGTCATCTCAAACATCTCACTTTACAGTTCAACCAGATCATCCAGTCAGATTGATTCAAAGTTTTCTATCTAAGGAAAACCAGCTGATTGCATCGACTCATTGACTCAAATACAATCCCTCATACTAAGCATGCTTGTAGCGACAGTGGAGAGGAACAACTCCCTTTTAACAGGAAGAAACCTCCAGCAGAACCAGGCTCAGTGTGAGCGGCCATCTGCTGAGGCCGACTGGGTTTCAAGGAGGCAGAAGCAGACATACAAAAAGCACCGAGCCAGCTCCCATGTCAGAGGATGAAGAGAGCACATCCAGCCAGTCATAGTCAGAGAAACAGGACCACACTGGAAAACAGGCCAATCTCCAGCCTCTGTAATTCATTCAGGGAGGAGAAATTAGTTCTATCCACTAACCACACTTTGCTGCTAACCAGCAAATAGCTGGTTTTAATCAGAGATGGGAAGTAACGAAGTACAAATACTTCATTACTGTACTCAAGTAGATTTTTCTGATATTTTTACTTTACTTTACTACTTATTTTTATGGCGACTTTTTACTTCTACTCCTTACATTTTTACACAAATATCTGTACTTTCTACTCCTTACAGTTTTAAAAATTGGCTCGTTACTTTAGTTTTGAATCATTTCAATGGAGTTACCGTTATTATTTTTCACGTCATCGATACCAAATTCAATCTAATTGGATGGGAATCTACGTTGCTTTTGACGCACCACTACAAGATGAATCGACAGATTCGGCGGTATTCATTGGCGGCAAATCATTGCAGCTTGGTGGCGGTGGCGTTAGCATAGTAGCATGGACGACGAGATGATTGAAAATGAACACAACGGAGATCTAGTCCTATTGGCAGACATCCATTTAAAATGTAGGCAACGGCATGAAAAAAGTGGTTTCTACTTTTACTTTTACACTTTAAGTAAATTTACAAGCCTGTACTTTGTTACTTTTACTTGAGTAAAGAAGTTTAATCAGTACTTCCACTTTTACCAGAGTATTTTTTTAACACAAGTATCTGTACTTTTACTCAAGTACGGAAAGTGAGTACTTTTGCCATCTCTGGTTTTAATGCATTGCTACGGTTCAGTGTTGTAACAACTCTGGAAAACTGTCAGTAAAGATCATTTAATTTATGTTTCCTAGGTATTTCTGTGCCACTGTTTCTAAATCAGAATATATGAATTAAACATATTTATTCCTCAAAGAGAAAATACACAGGATTTGTTTCTGAATATTTTAAGCATAAACACTGAGTGAAAAAGAAAAGGATCCTGTATTCTGCCAGGTGAGCATACCGGGTGAGACCAGCATACCCATAGTCAAAACCCGTTTATCCCTTTAGTTTTGTATGAAAAATACACTTTAAATTACCTCAGCTTGTGTGTTTTCCTTTAGTCATGGACGAAAAAAACTATTTAATTAATTACTTTTAGTGTTTTTTGAAGCGTGTGGCAATCTAACCTCTAATCTAACCTAAATTGTTTTTTTGGGACATGACTAAAGGGATACACCCCCGTTGAGGTAGTTTAAAGTCTTTTTTTGTACAAAACTAAATGGATAAACGCAAATCTGACGTCGCATGAGTATTGACTATGGGTATGCTGATCTGTCAGAACACCGGCAGATTTGAGGAGAGAAAAGCAAACATCCTGATAGAAGGGTGTTGGGTGTGTTAGAGCGTACGGTAAAAGTTATTTGGCTGTTTGCATTTTATTGAGTCAAAGTTTAAAGAGGGATCACAGGGAATCAATGAAAGCTATGACCTTCACTGTGACGAATATATCTGAGACAAAAAGAACAAATAAAAATCGTAAGAGTTGACTTTTAGCCACACGCCCTGAGCAGGCTGTACAAATCATCATCAAAGGGTTAATTTAATGCAAATGTTTTTTTTTTATGTTTCTATCTGGAGATTACAGTCATTCTTTTTTTTTACAGTCTGACACAATGAATTGCATCTAGTTTAAGCTATTTTATTAGACACACCTCAAGTAAGAATGTTGCCCACTTCAAGCTAAAAGCATCAGACCTTTTAAATATGAAAATAAAAGATTAAAAGGCTTTAAGAAGCTGATTGCTTTATGATTTATTGATGTGTTTCAGGAAGACCTGGGGAAGCACATGAACCGGCGGTCCGGCTCGTACACCATCACCTCGTAGTGAAACGTCACGACATCAGGAGAAGGGACACCTCAGATTGCAACGTTTTTACATTTCATTAATTATATGGCTGAAACTTCAAAATTATGCTGATTTTTGTTTATTATCTGCTGAGAACTGCAGCAGAAAATCAAAAAATTTTCCTTTTAACAATGTTAGTGTAGATGGGCCCAGTCTATGATGCCTCGCCTGATCTTTGGTTTTATCTCACATAAATGGAAGAAGAGCCCAGCGATCAAAAACCCACCGTTTTCTACAACACATGGATTTGGTTTAAAATGTTACTTTTAACCTTGATTTTAAATCTCATATATGATAATCTTACAGAACAGGGAAACTCCTCCTGGAAGCATTATTGTAATTTATAAATAATCTGACCCACAATATTGACCCGATTCTTTTATTCAGCTCTAAAGTACCTCTGAGCAGACTCTAAAACTATTATTTTTTTAAAGTTAAACTTAATAAAGTCTAAAGCAGGATGAAAAAGACAAGGAAACATCAGAGATTCATATAAAACAAAGAATAAAAAGAAAAAAGATCCATCACTTAGAAACCTCTCTTTTTGTTTTACATCTTAGACACATGAAGTTCTCAGATAATCTAAAGTCAGCAGGTGGATAAATGGGTGGAAAGATATATATATATATATATATATATATATATATATATATATATATATATATATATATATATATATATATATATATATATATATATATATATATATATATATATATATATATGATATTCAATAAATTATTCATTTTTTTAAAGTTAACTGCACAAACAATTAATTAATGCGTGTTAGTAAATCTTCAACATTTGAATGGAAATTAATTTTTTAACTTGCTTTTTGTTTTGTAAACACTTCATCTTGACTAATTATGTTGAATACAAAGAGTATCTTCTGTAAGTCTGTTGTATAGAGTCTGATACCTTCTGCTATTATCTGCTGGGGGGTGGGGGGGCAGCATAGGAGCCACAGATGTAAGGCAGCTGATAAAGAAGTCGGGAACCTTCTGGATAATTGTGCAAAGTGATTCTTTTGAACATGAGGAACATAAAAAATCAACCCTGAAATTCCTCCTCAGGGGACATTAAAACAAAAGTAGAGTGTCTGCAGTCAGAGGCTTCCACAGAGCCGCTGTAGGACAGACCACTACAGGAAACCTTTCCTGCCCACAGACATCAGCATCTACAACAACTTTTATTAACATACTTGAAGACTTTGAGTTGCATTTCATTTTTCTTTGGGATTAATTATGTGTTTTTTTTATATGAATATAGTACAACTATTGTTAAATGTCTCTGCTTTTAAAGGTTGTAGTTTTTGGTAACAATTAAAATGTGTTTGGATGATCAAATATCACATTCTTTATTTATCAGCTCAGTTTAAATTTTATGTAAATTTTTAAACGTACCACAATCAATGTTTTGACCATGAAAAAAACCTATAAACGTTTTTTTACTGTAATTTAAACGGACTTAGAAGGTGTAAAAAATTTTTACCTTTACTTGATGTAAATTCTAGAAAAGAAACTGCTTTACTGCACATTACAGGGAGATTGAAACTGATTCCTTTCTCAGAACCAGCCCTGGTTTCATATGTTCCTGAACTGCTTTCATTGTATTCCATCTGCCTGCAGATTGCCTTCTTTTTGCTGCCTCTGTTGTTTGATAAGTCGGTTTTACTCAAGGATCGGGGTTCATAATTTGGCAGCAGCCGCTGTGTCCCAGTTTACTCTTTATTATGCAGCTCCAGGAAAATTCCACCTGAAAATGGATCCTCATTGTTGGAGGACTGATGTCTCTCTTCCAGCCAAAGTCCAGGTTTGCTTTTGTTCAGCTTGGTCAGAGGGAGTTTCACAAAGGCGGAAAGGGAAGACAAAGGCGAGGAGAAAGGTGTGGCAGCGCAGCAATTCATGGCCTGAATTATGTTTTATTAGAGAAGGATAGAGCAGATACCAAAGTGAGGAATTGGGCCGGGCTGAGAAATGTTTCTCATTATTGTGACTCAGCTGACGTCAAACTGATTGTTGAGTTTTTATTTTTTCTATTTACATATTTCTTTGTGTAAAAGAAAGACAAAGATTGTTTTCTGAGGGTTGTACTGATATGTATTACCAGCGGTTTAGATATTATGGGCTGTGTGTTGTTGTTACGGCAGGTTTACACTGTTATACAAGCTGTACTACTTTATCAAAGGGTCATATCTAAAGCATAACACATTAAAATATGTAATAGAGAGATTTTTTTTACAGTTAATGCAATAAGATTAAAAGGGAGAAAACAAGCATTTGAAAATTATTTTTTGGTGTTAGATTGTGGGGCTGTATGGAAGAGGATTAGGGCCACTGAAAAAAAAAAAGTTAACAGATTTTTTTTATTTTATTTCAGTATAGTATGGGAAAAAAAGTCAGAATTCTGAGAAAAAGTCAGAATTCTGACTTTTTTCCCATACCAAACTGAAATAAAATTTAAAAATCAGTAAACTTTTTTTTTTCCCACTGGCCCTCCTCTTCCGTAGAATTCTGACTGAATTCTGACAATAAAAAAATCAAAATTCTGAGTAAAGAGTCAGAATTCTGAGAAAAAAGTCAGAATTCTGAAATTAAAGTCAGAATTCTGAGAAAAGAGTCAGAATTCTGAGAAAAAAGTCAGAATTCTGAGAAAAAAGTCAGAATTCTGAAATTAAAGTCAGAATTCTGAGAAAAAAGTCAGAATTCTGAGATTAAAGTCAGAATTCTGACTTTTTTCCCATACTATACCGAAATAAAATTTTTCAGTCGCCCTAATCCTCTTCCATAGGGCTGCATGTTACTGCACCTAGAAATAGAATTTGATAATTAAACAGATTAGCACAGAACAACAGCTTTATTAAATCAGAACATCTGAACCCCTACAGGGCAAACTACTCTGTACTTCATCATTATGGTTTCTTTATGTTATATTTTGATGTCTTTGTGGAAGCAACGGCAAAAACTTTAATTATTTAAAGATTTTAAGAAATAAAATAAAGATAAACTATGTGCTTTATGGCTATCTCTTAAACCTTATTTAAGAATGTTCTAATTATGGCTGAACAAATAATTGGATAAATCGTGATAATATTGAAATAACCATCAACTGATTTAGTAATAAATTAAACATTCACTGGAGTACAGAGACTCTAAAACGTGCCTTAAGCTGACAGAGCGACCCTCTAAAAGCAGGAATTATACCAAAATTGTAAAAACATATATAAAATTTTGAATTTAAGATTTAAAAAAAATGTTTCTTAATATGTTCTATCCAGAACTCCTTAAGTTGAAAAGTTTCACCTGGTTTAATTTGGTAAAAAAAAAAATCTTCCTTAAGGAACCTTTTGCTATCTGATTATTAATGGATTAATCGAAAACATAATCAAGAGATTAATCAATATATATATTCTGTAAAATATATATATATTCTGTAAAAACTACAACTATCTTTGTCTTCATGATCAGTGCTGTTGGGATTATTCTTATTAATGATGTCTGAGTCTGTTAAACCCTAATAATACCTGCCTGTTGTGTGTCAGAACTAATGTTTTCCCAAGAAGTTTATCTAATGAGGACAGTTCCTCAACAGAGATTTAAGAATAGAACGAGAGCGGGATCCTTGATCTAAGAACAAAGTGTAATATTTTGATAAGCTCCTTGGTTTTCCCTAGCCTGACGTAGTCCGACTCAATTCTAGTCAGAATGAGTCTGATGCTGCTCCATAGAGCGGTGATTATGGGGCGTGTTTCGAACGAACCAAGAAAAAAAATGCCTCTGCACTCAATTGGATAGACCTACAACCAATAAGAGCAACGGAGTGCGTAACGTATGTTAAGCGACGCATAGTTGTTGTCCACAAAAATCAAAGCGTGCAGTTGCACGCCTATAATAAGAAGATGAGACTTGATCGCGTTTCTCTGTTCCTCTTTTAAAATTAATTTGCTGTCGATATCTTCTAGAACAGACCTAATAGCAGAATCTACACACCTAAACTCTCCAGCGGCAGCCATTATTGTTGTCACCCAAGCGCACATTGGTCACGTGGTTGATTACGTGACTGTTGGTCATCTGTCCATCATCGTATAAAGCCCGCCCTGACAATTTGATTGGATCGCCTGACAGTGGGCGATAATACTCGCGCTACTATGGAGCAGAGCCAGACCGAACTTCCCCGACCTCAAACTTTGTGGGCGGGACTAAGTTCGGAATGGCACCCAGGCTAGGTTTTCCCTGCATTATTCAGAAGGTGGTTCTGCTGGCACCACACCATGAAGTTCTGGGTCCATCATTTGTACTCGTCTCCACCTCTGATTTAGCCTCGTGAGACCATCCTGATCTCGCGAGCTTTCAAGGTTTCACTCGCTAATCAGTCTGGAGACTCTCTGGTGACGCAACGAGAAGTGCGACAGTTCAGTCTAAAGAACATGGCGGCTTCAGCCGATGAAACTAGCGTTAGCGTGGCTATCGAGCAAGTTTTATCGGAATTACAGAGTATTTCTTCACTGAAAGAAGAGCAAAACACTGCTCTGGAGGCTATTCTCAGAGGAAAAGATGTTTTTGCTCTTCTCCCGACTGGTTTCGACAAGAGTAGCCTGGCTTGGCTTATAAATCTCTTATAAATCTCTTTATATGCTAAATGCATCCCAGCAGCATATAAGATACATAAATTACATATAATAAAAAACAAAAAAAAGGTATCGAAGAAATTCGGGACATTAAAACTGCAGGTAACGGATGCTGAAAACATGATCTATATATCTATTATCTATATATCTATATACCGTAGTTAACAACAGGCAAAAAGCTTGATTCCACCAATTTTCTTTTCAGACTCAAATAAAAACAGCAGCATATAAACAGCAGGACAAGAGAAACTGATGTTTCAAAGTTTTTGTTTTTGCTTTTCCTTCTTTAACAGGTGGCAGATGTTCAGTGGATTGAAGTTCTCATGATCTCAGATTAAATCGTCTTTTTTTTATCAAAAATGCTCTTCTTTGGTCTTTGAAGTTTTAACGACATCATAGGTCCTCAGCAGATCCTGTAAACTGAAACAGAAAAAAGTATAGTTAAGGAAGCAAAGGAAAGAGCAGTCGTTAGAGATCAGAGGCATCTTCATGTCACAAGACTCCATCTATCTACAGAGAGGTCTTCAGGAGATCTTTGATCTTTCCATTTAGGTGCACTTTTTATGTTCTTCTAAAACCAGCAGAACATGAGGACAATTTGTTGCATATTTGAAAGAGTGCCTATAATGTCTTTCAAGGCATTACGGATACAATCATTACTTTCTGCAATACTGTTTTCCAAAAGGAGAAACATAATGATCACAACAAAGTTCAAACAATGCAGGTCTGCCAAATGATATGGAATCATTAGAGAGTGAAGCATTTAGCTGAAGCTTTGCTTGAAAGTTTACACATCCTTCCCTTATAGGATGAATTTAAACTAGTCATTTAAATAACACAAAGCTAAAGAAAGTAAAAATTCTAAAAAATAAACGGTCCCAGACAAATTAGAGCTCATTGACCGGTGAAGCAACATACCTGTCAAAAGGTGCAACAGTCTGAACATTTCCTGAACGTTACAGAAAGCAGCTGATTTCAGTGATTATTGCCACGAAGTGTTGCGTAAAAACTTTTTATTTCAGGAGCTCCATCAGGCTTGTTTATTTATTATTATATATGCACACATATATATTTAAAATCAATGTCATGATTTCCATCATTTAATCATTTTTATGAATTTGTACTTATGTCATTTTCAGTTTTTTCTATACTTTGAGCTGTTTTTTTTCTGTCTGTAATGGAAGAATATGTAAACTTTTAACTGTAAATAATCAGCAGGCAGCAGTAAGGTTATCAATACAACAAATTGAGGCTCGAAATAATACCAGAAAAAATACTTTGTTTTCCATATAGTAAGAAAAGTAAAGGCAAATTTTTCATAAAGAATGTTTCATTTAATAAAAATATGTTCCTGTCCTAATTAGTGTGAAACAAATTTAAAAAAGCAAGAAACTTATGGGCCAAAACAAGGTAAAAGATTTCACTTGTAATAAATCTGATGTATGGAGGGCAGGTTATGGCAGTTAGTCTAAATGTAGTTAGAGAAAAAGTAAGAAGTTTTACAAAACATTTTTTAAATATATACATCTATAATTGTGAACTACTATGAAATCCTTTCATATCTAATATTTAGTGCATGTAAAGGTTGATCAGTAGAGGGCGCACTTGTACCTACTTTGGATCTACTGGGAGTCAAATTAATTCAAAACAATTAGCTGCAGATTTTTCTCTGTAAAGAACATCATCATCATATTTAAGGGAATTATTGTTTAAGTAGTTTTTATGTATATTATATATATATATATAGTTTTTATTTATATAATACTTTATTGTGAGTAATTAGCATTGAGGACATTGTCTGGTTCCATTTCTATGGAAGAGGGTTAGGGCCACTGAAAAACAAAAAGTTAACTGATTTTTTAAATTTTATTTCAGTATAGTACAGGAAAAAAGTCAGAATTCTGACTTTTTTTCTCAGAATTCTGTCTTTAATCTCAAAATTCTGACTTTAATCTCAAAATTCTGACTTTTTTCTCAGAATTCTGACTTTAATCTAAGAATTCTGACTTTAATCTCAGAATTCTGTCTTTTTTCTCAGAATTCTGACTTTAATCTCAAAATTCTGACTTTTTTCTCAGAATTCTCACTTTAATTTAAGAATTCTGACTTTATTTTAAGAATTCTGGCTTTTTTCTCAGAATTCTGACTTTAATCTCAGAAGTCTGACTTTTTTTCTCAGATTCTGACTTTAATTTAAGAATTCTGGCTTTTTTCTCGGAAATCTGACTTTAATCTCAGAATTCTGACTTTAATTTAAGAATTCTGACTTTTTTTCTCAGATTCTGACTTTCATCTCAAAATTCTGACTTTTTTCTCAGAATTCTGACTTTAATCTCAGAATTCTGACTTTTTTTCTCAGATTCTGACTTTCATCTCAGAATTCTGACTTTTTTCCCATACTAAACTGAAATAAAATTTCAAAATTTGTTAACTTTTTTTTTTTTTTCAGTGGCCCTAATCCTCTTCCGTACATTTCTCTGAGAAGTATGCTGTGTATACAGAGTAAATGAGCTGTGGCTAACAACATACCAAAGCCAGCTGGTCCAAATTTCCCCTAAAGTTTTTTCATCGTTAACACAAAGGTCCAAATTTGAAAAGATTTGATTTTGTCCAATCAGGACATTTGATTTAACAAGTGAACTTGAAAGATAAACCCTGTTTATAACCAAATATGCAGCAAAGCCAACACTGATATCATTTGGACACGTTTTATTATCTTACATGAAATGTCAGATTTTACCTGTCCTGATTTCAGTCCTCTCCCTCCAAATGTCTCTCAGTGTTTTCTGTCAATCTCTCCTTCATACAGAACTTCCTGGAAACACAGAAAAAATGTTTTAGTCCAGTAATTCCCCACTTGAAATCCTCAAAAAAACAATTATGGGGTCTTTGAGATCCACTAAAGAAATTAAACTAAGCAATGGTTAGAGATTTTTGCATTGTTTGCACACAAAAAAAAACTACTTTAGTTGCCGATGCTGTTTTCATCAATGTTACATCTGCAGTTAATTAATTTTTTAGAAATGTTTATAAACTAGAACTCTGCTCTAGATCACATTTACTCAGGGGGGGTTTTACCATTAGGCATTACTAGACAGTTGCCTAGGGCCCCAAGGTCCTGGGGGCCCCATTACAGTTTTTTTTGGATTGCTTACACACTAAAGTTAAAAGTAGTACACTATTAGCAAAACCTTACACTCAAGAAGCAAAACATCAGCCCATATTTGCACAACTATAAGCACATTGTCAACCTCACACTTGTTGCAAAACTCTACACACATTGATTTGCAAAACACTAAACACACTTAACATACATTACACACAAAAATCTATTATGAAGTCACTTCCGTGAAATACCAGAGCACTGACTGTCAAATTACCGCACCTTCCAACCAATTGATTCAACACAGTCATCAGGTGTGCAAACACCTGTTTGCTTAATTGTAGACACACCAATCAGGTGTATAAGCACTATAAAAAGCAGCAGGTGAGTTCATCGGTCTTCAAGCACAATGGAAAGAGTCAGAGAAATAGTAAGACGAGGTGGAGGAGAAGGAGGAGGACAAGGAGGAGGACGACGACAAGGAGGAGGAGAAGGACGAGGAGGAAGAGGAGGAAGGGGAGGAAGAGGAATCAACAGAGGAGGAATCAATGGAAGAGGAAGAGATGGAGGCCAGGCTGGAGGTAGGCGAAGAGGAAGAGGAAGACAAGAACGTGCTCAAAGAGGACCGAATCTGACAAATGAGATCCGTGCAACACTTGTTGACCACGTTGTCAACCACGGCCTGACGATGAGGGAGGCTGGACTGAGAGTACAGCCAAATCTAAGCCGATACACAGTGGCAAGTGTGATAAGAACATTTCGACTGGAAAATAGGTATTGTAAAAATATCATCATATCAAAAACATCTGAACGGTTTCAGCAACTGCTTACAGTACTGTATTCTATGCACTATCAGCACTTCTGTTACCTTTTCCTGTGAAATTACTGTACTATTGTTTACTGTTTTTTTTTTCTACATAGGATTGAGGGCCAGGAACGACGAGGGGGACGGCCTCCTATGTTCACAGAACAGCAAGAGAGGGAGATAGTAAACATGGTTTTGGCCAACAATGCTATAACCCTCAATCAGCTCCAAGCTAACTTTGTCAATAACCACGTCGGTTTCAACAATATCCATCAGGTCTCAACATCAACACTGGCACGCATCCTAATAAAAAACATATTCAAATGAAGAAAATGTATCGAGTGCCTTTCGAGCGCAATTCCAAAAGGGTGAAACGACTGCGGCATGATTATGCAGAGGTATGTATTCACCTAAGCATTGTGATCTTGCATACTGTCTCATAATCTTTTACTGTACTGTGATATGTATACTAGATCTACACTGAACACAATTTTGCCTGACACTGTTCTTCAGAGAGTTTTACAAATGGATGGAGAGGAGATCCAGCATGAGTTCATTTACGTAGATGAGGCTGGGTTCAACCTGACGAGAACACGAAGGAGGGGAAGAAACATCATTGGCCACAGGGCTATAATCAATGTCCCAGGGCAACGTGGGGGTAATATAAGACTCTATGCAGCCATTACACAGAATGGGGCCCTCCACCGCCATGCCCATATGGGCCCTTACAACACAGCACTCATACTTACATTCTTGGACCAATTGCACAACATAACAGCAGCAAATCAAGTCGATCATATGCAATACATTGTTGTATGGGACAATGTGTCTTTCCACCGCTCTGCTCTGGTTCAGAACTGGTTTCAGCAACATCCACATTTCACCGTCCTATATCTTCCACCATACTCTCCATTTCTCAACCCTATACAGGTGCTGGTCATAAAATTAGAATATCATGAAAAAGTAGATTGATTTCAGTAATTCCATTTAAAAAGTGAAACTTGTATATTATATTCATACATTACATACAAACTCATATATTTCAGATGTTTATTTTGTTTAATTTTGATGATTACAAATGACAACAAATGAAAATCTCAAATTCATCATATCAGAAAATTAGAATATTGTGAAAAGGTTCAAAATTGATGGCCCCTGGTGCCACACTCTAATCAGCTAATTAACTCAAACCACCTGCAAAAGCCTTTAAATGGTCTTTCAGTCTAGTTCTATAGGCTACACAATCATGGGGAAGACTGCTGACTTGACAGTTGTCCAAAAGATGACCATCGACACCTTGCACAAGGAGGGCAAGACACAAAAGGTCATCGCTAAAGAGGCTGGCTGTTCACAGAGCTCAGTGTCCAAGCACATTAATAGAGAGGCGAAGGGAAGGAAAAGATGTGGTCGAAAAAAGTGTACAAGCAAGAGAGATAACCGCACCCTGGAGAGGATTGTGAAACAAAACCCATTCAAAAATGTGGGGGAGATTCACAAAGAGTGGACTGCAGCTGGAGTGAGTGCTTCAAGAACCACCACACACAGACGTATGAAAGACATGGGTTTCTGCTGTCGCATTCCTTGTGTCAAGCCACTCTTGAACCACAGACAGCGTCAGAAGCGTCTTGCCTGGGCTAAAGAGAAACAGGACTGGACTGCTGGTGAGTGGTCCAAAGTCATGTTCTCTGATGAAAGTAAATTTTGCATTTCCTTTGGAAATCAAGGTCCCAGAGTCTGGAGGAAAAGAAGAGAGGCACTTCATCCACGTTGCTTGAAGTCCAGTGTAAAGTTTCCACAGTCAGTGATGGTTTGGGGTGCCATGTCATCTGCTGGTGTTGGTCCATTGTGTTTTCTGAGGTCCAGGGTCAACGCAGCCACATACCAGGAAGTTTTAGAGCACTTCATGCTTCCTGCAGCTGACCAACTTTTTGGAGATGCAGATTTCATTTTCCAACAGGACTTGGCACCTGCACACAGTGCCAAAGCTACCAGTACCTGGTTGAAGGACCATGGTATCCCTGTTCTTAATTGGCCAGCAAACTCTCCTGACCTTAACCCCATAGAAAATCTATGGGGTATTGTGAAGAAGAAGATGCAATACACCAGACCCAACAATTCAGAAGAGGTAAAAGCCACTATTAGAGCAACCTGGGCTATCATAACACCTGAGCAGTGCCACAGACTGATCGACTCCATGCCACGCCGCATTGCTGCAGTAATACAGGCCAAAGGAGGCCCAACTAAATACTGAGTGCTGTACATGCTCATACTTTTCATGTTCATACTTTTCAGTTGGCCAACATTTCTATAAATCCTTTGTTTTTATTGGTCTTCAGTAATATTCTAATTTTCTGATATGATGAATTTGAGATTTTCATTTGTTGTCATTTGTAATCATCAAAATTAAACAAAATAAACATCTGAAATATATGAGTTTGTATGTAATGTATGAATATAATATACAAGTTTCACTTTTTAAATGGAATTACTGAAATCAATCTACTTTTTCATGATATTCTAATTTTATGACCAGCACCTGTAGAAGAGTTTTTCTCGGCATGACGGTGGAAGGTATATGATCTCCGTCTCCAGGCTGAGGTACCCCTCATCCAAGCCATGGAGGAGGCCTGTGACCAGATGGAGGTAGCAGCAATGCAAGGATGGATTCATCATTCAAGACGTTTCTTTCCAAGGTGTCTTGCTAATGACAACATTGCCTGCGATGTTGATGAAATTCTCTGGCCAGATCCAGTTAGGCGAAGAGACAATGTCTAGGTTTTGTTTTGTTTTTTTTAAAGTAAACTTACAGTACAATACATAAAGTGACATTTTGTTACAGTATTATGAATCTCCATGTCAACATTTTGGGCGTGTTGAGAAATAAATAAGTTTCTTCAGTCTGCAACATTGGTCTTGTGTAGTGTTTGGTGAATTTACAATATATTTGTACTTTGTTGATGGTAGCCAACTCTAATCATAGGGAAGTAGAAGTGCTAAAAGTGTTTTAGGTTTATCACAGCAGAGTGTAACTCGTGCAAACAGAGTATAGTAATGTGAAACGTGTGTGTTTCATATGGTAACAAAGTGTGGTTTTTAAACAGAAGTGTATAGTTTTTACAAGAGTGTTTAATTATGCAAAGGATCTGTAGTGTTTTGCTAATTGGGTGTATGGTTGTGCTAATTGTGTGTAGTGTTTTGAAAACACGGGCCCTGTTTTGAAAATCGTGCTTAAGCAATCCAAAAAAACTGTAATCTCAATACAACTGTTCTGTATTTATGCACTTTAATTATGTTTTTGATTAAAAAAAATCCTTTCACTAAAATGCCATCAGAACGCTTATAATATTAAGTGTGTCTCAACCCCCCCAACCCCCCACCCCTTTAGTGTCCACCATATTGGATCAGTCCATTTGCTGCACATGTTCAGAAAGGTCCAAACAGACAGCAGCAAACCATTTGAAAACAAACCATGCAAAGAGCAGTGTTGCCAACTTAGCGCTTTAGTCGCTATATTTAGCCACTTTTCAGACCCCTCTAGCACTTTGATTTCTAAAAAGCTCCTAGCGCCAAATCTAGAGACTTTTTTCTGCTACTGGAGACTTTGGAGACAACATCTAAAAGCAGCGAACTCTGCTCTCCAGAGCGAGTAGATTGGTAACCCCGCCTCCTGCTCTCCTCTATCTTGTCTGCTGTCATGATTCATGCAGCTATTATTTCATCCAAATGAAAAATGGAGAACAGAGAAGCAGATCATGGCTTGTCTACAGTGAAAAGAAGGACTGGGTTATTTACTTTGGCCTTTTTGGAAACACAGGAAGGAGCAATCAGCTAAGTGAGCTTAGTGCTTGGAAAAAATCTTTCATTCCTTTAGAGACAGCATGAAAAGTCAGCTGAGTACAAAACATAGAGAGGAAAACAAGAAGAAAAGGGACAAGAAGAGAGGGACACAACCTAGAACAGATAATGGATGTCTATTCTATTAACATTTCTCTATCTGTAGAATGGCTCTGTTTTATGAGTTGTCGTCTCAATTCAGAAGGCCCCCTGCCTGTCTTTGCCTAGGGCCCCAAATTTCCTAAATCCGCCTCTGCATATACAAACACTTCATTTACCAACTGATTCATTTTATTGACAGACTAAAACATGTTTGTAGGAGAAATAGGAATTTATCCCTTAGCTTCTTTACCTTCTGATGAAGATGGCGGCCAATATGGCATTTATCACAGCAATCAAACCGAACAGAACTGTGTAGATTGTGCTTCTTCTGATTCCTGTGAAGTACAACAAACATTCATCAGTTTTAGGTAGATCTCTAGATCAAGGTTTACCAACATCTCAGCCTGTGACACTAAAAATAATGATGCATAAGACCTGCAACCCCCCAAAATAACATATTATCACTTCACTTTATGTTTATTTATAGAGTAAAGTAATGAATCACCTTCAAATAAATTGAATTTTTTTATATGAGATTATTTGACTCCATTTAAAATTAAGTATATTAATTTAATTGGACATTTATTTATTTAAGGCAAGGCAAGGCAAATTTATTTGTATAGCACAATTCAGTACAAAGACAATGCAAAGTGCTTTACATGATTAAAATATAACAGAATCAAAGCAATTAGGAATAAAAATAAGAAAATAAATGAATAAAATAAAATTTAAAGTTACATTTTACAATTTAATAGTATATAAAATATTTGAATCAAGTATAAAATAAACAGAAAAAGGAATAATGTTACGTCTACTTATTTTTTGGGACAATCACACACAGGAAAAATTATCTCATGATATCATCTGGCTGCATGGGCGGTTCTAGACAGGGGCCAACAGGGGCCGGTCCCCCTATGTTAAACAAGTCCTGGCCCCTGTTATGCCCCCTGTGCTGAAGGCCTACACTGCAAAAACTGGAATCTAAATAAGTCAATTTTCTTAAATGAGGTGTAAAAGTAATATTCCCTTGATTTGAGAATGCAGGTAAGATGATTTATAAGATATTTATGTTTAAAATAGTTCCATTTAATCATATCTAATTTATAATAATTTATTATTTGATTATACTTAACATAGAAGCAGAAATAATCGTTCCTTTAGCTAATTATCTTATTTACCTGCTTGAATTAAGGGGAAATGTACATATTATAAGAATAAGAGATATGCTGGTGGGGAGTGGCAGCTTAGTGGTTAGGGCATAGAACTTGGAATCCTGAAGTTGTGATTTCAAGCCCCACTCCCACAGACTGCCACCTTGGCTCCCTGAGCAAAGACCCGTAACCCCAGACTGCTCTCTGAGCGCTGCACAATGGCAGCCCGCTGCTCACCAAAGGGATGGGTTAAATGCAGAGTTAATTTCTCCAACGTGAGATCAATAAAGTTCAATTTATATTATTGTTATTATAGAAATGTAAATAATTAAAAGGTCGAAGATATCGCGTTGTATTTATCGCACATTGTAATTAGCCTCGTGAGACCATCCTGATCTCGCGAGCTTTCAAGATTTCACTCGCTAATCAGTCTGGAGACTCTCCGTTAAAGAAAATTTGGAGCCGTTCACCAAATGAACGTCCAATCAGTGTTGGCTTTAAGGCGGGTTGAGGTGTGACGCAACGAGAAGCGTGACAGTTCAGTCTAAAGAACATGGCGGCTTCAGCCGATGAAACTAGCGTTAGCGTGGCTATCGAGCAAGTTTTATCGGAATTACAGAGTATGTCTTCACTGAAAGAAGAGCAAAATACTGCTCTGGAGGCTTTTCTCAGAGGAAAAGATGTTTTTGCTCTTCTCCCGACGGATTAGCCTGGCTGTTAGTACGTCATATGCTTCGTTGATCTGATTGGTTTATTTGGCCCGTCTATCACCAACATAGGCCAATCAGCTAACCAGTATTTTGGCCCCTTCCCAAAATTACTTCAACTGAAGGTTTCCAGATGGATATGCAGAGCAAATCCATCTGGCGGAGTCAGGTTAACAGACTGCCACCCTGGCTCCCTGAGCAAAGACCCATAACCCCACACTGCTCCCTGTTTGCCGCACAATGGCATCCCACTTATTAAATGCAGAGTTAATTTCACTTCTCTGTTCTTGGGAAAGTGTAATGACAAAAAAAAAGAATTTTTTTTAAAAAAGCTAGAAAAAGAGACCCTGACTGATTCCTCCTTTGGACTAATTCACTCAGTCAGTTTTAATCTCCAGCCCTTTAATTAAAGGGTCACAGTTTTCATCATCACCTGCAACAATAAGCTTTTTTTTCATGTGTCCCATGAAATTCTTCTGGTAAATTTCATCTAGAACCTCCACTGTCTGCCTGTATATCAGCCATTACAACATAATGATCTGAAAAAACATTTTGCGAACCCAGACTCAGTATGCTGACGGGGGGAAAATAGTGATCTGTTGGACTGCTTGGTTTAAACTACAACGAATCAGGAGGGGCGCAACAAAACAAACACATCAAGGAAGTATGTACATGGTAAGTACATGGATGCCCTAACAACACAACCTCAGGGGAAGAAGAAGCTGCTTTACTATACAAAGATGGAGTATCTGATAAAATTAGGAAGATATTCTCCCAATAAAGCAAACTGGGCTGGTTTCACTAAAGGATTAACAGCCAATCATGCTGCATGCTGCTCAGAACAGCCAGAGAAAACAAAACAGGAAGAAAACACAGCATGAAGGAAAATGTTATTCTTATAGGAGTCTCCAGATGATGGTGGCTGTAGGCAGGAAGAATCACCTGTTACATCCTCTCACTGTAAACGCTGCTATTCAACATTCATGTAGAAAGGATCATTTACCTGCAGCCTCCACCTGCAGGACGAACGGCTCAGACTGCGTCTCCGTGTCGTTCCTCAGAGCACAGGTGTAGTTGCCAGAATGTTGCACAGTAAGAGGGTTGAACAGCAGGTTGCTCCAAGTCTGTGAGAGGATGACGCCATCTTTCTTCCAGGTGACCCTGTTGTGTTGGGAAGCAGAGCATGACAAAATGCAGCGGAGCAGGCCGAGGCGACCGCTTCTGAAGCCTTCTTCACTGTAACCCAGGACGCTCATCTTTTTGTCCTCTGCAAACAAAAAATGTTTTAGTTACTTGATATTCAAACTCATTTTTGCTACTAGTCAATGTGTGTTTGGTTTATTCTTACCTACAACGGTGAGCTTTACTCCTGTTGTGTTTAAAACGCTCCCTTCAACTTCATCAGCTTCCACTCCGAAGTAAAAGGTTGCGTCATCTCCCATTTCTACATCTCTTATCTGCAGAGAGCAGTTTCCCTTCAGGTCTCCCAGGTACTGGTAACGGGGGTTGTTGTTCGTTGAGTTACTGTCAAACACAGATGAGGTTGAATCTTGACACATCAGATGGTTCTTGCACCAGCGAACTCTGATGTTCTTCAGAGGGACTTCCGGTCCATCTCTGGAGAAAGATTTTAACGGTGTGAAGGAGCAGGGCAGGGTGGCTGTCGATCCTCTCACAGCGCAGGTAGACGTCAGCTCATGCTTAATGGTTTGACCCAGAGCTCCTGGAAACAGCATGAAAACATTTCATTATTTTACTGAGAGAACCCCTTTTTTTTCTTTTTTTTCTATTGTGTTAAACAGTTTTTTATTGAGGAATCATACATATAAATTGAAACTTCAACAATACACATTTGTCCTTTTTTTTGTATGTGAACAAAAAACATAAAGACATTACAAAATCAAAACCAAACGAAAGTGACATAAGTAAACAAGAACATTCTCAAAAAGTTCTGTTGAATCGCTTTAAGTTATTTGCTAATGAGAACCGTATTCTTTCCAGATCAGAGAGTCTTACCAGTTCCTCCAGCCATAATTTCTGAGTAAACCCCGTTTTAATCATTCTGCTTCATTCTATCTCTATTCTCCCACTCTGCAGAATCTGTTAGTTCAATCTCTAACGTTCTGCTCTCTCTGCTTTTTCTCATAGTAGCTTCATCTGGTCTGTTCCTGTTTGGCTGTGACTCCATCCTGGAGAGAAATATCAGCTGTGCTGCTGCCATCAACACCTTTGTTTCTAGATGTAGGAGCTTGGCCTGTTTTCCAGTGTAGTCCTGTTTCTCTGACTGTGACTAACTGGATGTTTTCTCTTCATCCTCTGACATGGTAGCTGGCTCGGAGCTCGTCTGCCTGGCTGTGTGTTTCCTGGACGGGGCCGCCTTTTACAGCTGCTTTTTGAATCTCTGCTTCTGTCTCCTTGAACCCCAGTCGGCCTCAGCAGATGGCCGCTCACACTGAGTCTGGTTCTGCTGGAGGTTTCTTCCTGTTAAAAGGGAGTTTTTCCTCTCCACTGTCGCTACAAGCATGCTTAGTGTGAGGGATTGCATTCGAGTCAATAAGTGGGAGGCAGATGAGAGTAAGTAATCATTTCTTCAGTTGAACTTCCATCTAGGCTCCATTTGTATAAAACATTTGTATAGAGCAGCCTTTGACTGTGCCATCTATACATTGTACGTTTCCAGTTATTTTTTCATATAGTTTTTGTATTTTAATTATTCACACTAATTCTCTTTAATTTTTGTGTTGACTCTAAGCCACTGTACTCTGAATTGTCTCCCCGCTGAACGGTGCTATAAAAACAAACCTGCACTGGCGACAATGGCAGCAATATGGATACAAACAATGAATGACATTAATGCCTGTTTTTATTAGAAACAGTTGAGGACAGAGTTGGACTGAGGTATTTTAGTTTTGCTTTAAACTCCTCCAGAATATTAAGGGTTTGATGCTGGGCTTTGATTTGTAATCTGTTCCATGCATTTTGGGCTGAAAACCTAAAAGTTGCATCACACTTTAACTCCTGCAGTATCTCCTGCAGTCTTATTTCAACTAAGCTACAAGAAGAAATGCTAATAATAATAACCTGAATAAGTTGGTTAATTTAGATTAGATTCATTCGTTCATAAGATTAAAGTTCCTTTATTTCCTTTTTCTAATATTTCAGCATTTTAGACTTACCCCAGTCTCATCTTTACTTTCAACACTTCAGCTAAGGCTTATCAGCATTGCTGCACAATACATCTTTAGCAGATTCCCTCTAAAAATAATAAAAAAAATATATATTTTTTGCAGAATTCTTCAGCTGCTGTTTCTGCAACATTTCAGCTTACAAGTCAGTCCTCTTTAAAAAAACACAAAGATAAATAAAACATAGCGATCAGCGGCTTACCTGAAATAAATACCAGAAAGACCAACAGAAGGTTTTGGTGCTGAAGAGCCATCGTTCAGTGATTTATATCACTGCTGAGATACAGACTGACTGAAACTCAGGTTGTGGGTTATATACCCGTCAGGAGTTTAACTTCCTGTTTCTATGAGCACCAAATGTCCTTATTTGGGTATTCCTGGTTGTGTCTTTTTTCTGTTAGTTAAAGAAAAGGAAAAAAATGATGAAAGCCAGGCTTTGATGCAACATACATCTCTATACGTCTTACAGGAAGAGGAGGTGATTGATGTCATCATCCTCTGCCAGGAACCAGGTTTCTGGTTTCACCTCATTTACACACCAATTGTTTTTTTCTTTGCCTCAAGGATGGAAAAAAGAAAGAAAATCTGGTCTCACCAGTTTTTACTGAAAAGACCAATAAATAAAAGTTGAATGGGTTTGGGTTGAATGGATGGATTTCTGTTCCTAAACATTTCTGGCTTCTCTTCAACCACCTGAATGAGGGATTATCCTAATAAAGTTCATTTAAAGTCAGGTTTTGTTTTGGTTTCTCTGGGAAGAAGAGATTTACAGTTGAATGTCTAAAGCAAGGCTGCCTTTAAGGGACCTGTAGGGGTCCCCAACTTTAATTTGGTGCCCCTCCTTCTTTTAAAAGAATGTCAGCGGGGGCTCTGATCTACTCTCCATACCCAGAACCAAACATGGAGAAGCAGCTTTTAGTTCTTATGATCCACTGATCTGGAATTAACTCCCTGAAAACTGTAAGGGTGCTGAAACTTTACGTCACTTTAAATTAAGATGTAAAAGTAATTTGATTATAGTGACCTTTGACTGAGCTTGACCGAACTTTATTCTCTTAACATTACGACTTTATTCTAATAATATTTTGACTTTATTCTCGCAACATTACGACTTTAATCTCGTAATATTACGACTTTATTCTAATAATATTTTGACTCTATTCTCGTAACATTACGACTTTAATCTCGTAATATTACGACTTTTTTTCTAATAATATTTTGACTTTATTCTCGTAACATTACGACTTTAAACTCGTAATATTACGACTTTATTCTAATAATATTACGACTTTAATCTCTTAATATTATTACTTTAATCTGGTAATATAACGACTTCATTCTAATAATATTACGACTTTATTCTCGTAATATTAAGACTTTATTCTCTTAACATTATGACTTTAATCTCATAATATTACGACTTTATTCTCGTAATATTAAGACTTTATTCTCGTAACATTATGACTTTAATCTCGTAATATTACGACTTTATTCTCGTAATATTAAGACTTTATTCTCGTAACATTATGACTTTAATCTCATAATATTACGACTTTATTCTAATAATATTTTGACTTTATTCTCGTAACATTACGACTTTAATCTCGTAATATTACGACTTTTTTTCTAATAATATTTTGACTTTATTCTCGTAACATTACGACTTTAATCTCGTAATATTACGACTTTATTCTAATAATATTTTGACTTTATTCTCGTAACATTACGACTTTAATCTCGTAATATTACGACTTTTTTTCTAATAATATTTTGACTTTATTCTCGTAACATTACGACTTTAATCTCGTAATATTACGACTTTTTTTCTAATAATATTTTGACTTTATTCTCGTAACATTACGACTTTAAACTCGTAATATTACGACTTTTTTTCTAATAATATTTTGACTTTATTCTCGCAACATTACGACTTTAATCTCGTAATATTACGACTTTATTCTAATAATATTTTGACTTTATTCTCGTAACATTACGACTTTAATCTCGTAATATTACGACTTTTTTTCTAATAATATTTTGACTTTATTCTCGTAACATTACGACTTTAAACTCGTAATATTACGACTTTATTCTAATAATATTACGACTTTAATCTCTTAATATTATTACTTTAATCTGGTAATATAACGACTTCATTCTAATAATATTACGACTTTATTCTCGTAATATTAAGACTTTATTCTCTTAACATTATGACTTTAATCTCATAATATTACGACTTTATTCTCGTAATATTAAGACTTTATTCTCGTAACATTATGACTTTAATCTCGTAATATTACGACTTTATTCTCGTAATATTAAGACTTTATTCTCGTAACATTATGACTTTAATCTCGTAATATTACGACTTTATTCTAATAAAATTTTGACTTTATTCTCGTAACATTACAACTTTAATCTCGTAAAGTTGTGATATTATTCTCATGATATTACGACTTTAATCTCTTAATATTATGACTTTAATCTGGTAATATAACGACTTCATTCTAATAATATTACGACTTTATTCTCGTAAAGTTATGATATTATTCTCATAATATTACGACTTTAATCTCGTAATATTATGACTTTAATCTGGTAATATAATGACTTCATGTTAATAATATTACGACTTTATTCTCGTAATATTAAGACTTTAATCTCGTAACATTACGACTTTATTCTTGTAAAGTTAAGATATTATTCTCATAATATAACGACTTTAATCTTGTAATATTATGACTTTAATCTAGTAATATAAGGACTTCATTCTAATAATATTGCAACTTTATTCTCGTAATATTAAGACTTTAATTTCGTAACATTACGACTTTATTCTCGTAAAGTTATGATATTATTCTCATAATATTACGACTTTATTCTCGAAATAGAAGACAAAAAAAAAAAATCTCTAGCCTGGCCCTAATACTCCGTCCTAAAATGAAATTATCGATTTTTGGGAAAAAAAAAATTGTTTCAAAATATCTTTAAGAAGAAATTATTTGAATAAAATATAACCAAATGTGGGATAAGAACCCCTTTAATCATATTAATCTTACAAGCCATGAAGTAAAAGTGCCACCTAAAGATACTCAGTGGTCCCCAGTCCCACAACAGACACCTTGGACACGCCCCTGGCCATTTTCTACACATTTCCAATCACTGATCACATTCTGCACAGAAGCTGCTGCTCATTATCCTTACGTAACCCTATCACATATATGTTGGGTTGCTGCAGCCTTGAGATCCCGTTTCCACTGCATTGACGTCACTGGCTCCCACACAGACCTCCTTCATGTTGCATGTCACTGTATAATCGCCCAAACTTTTTATTTATTATTATTTGCACCTTTTCCAGACATTAAAAGCTCCATGGTGTTCTAGTCAGGGGCTATTTGTGGACTCAAAATCTTATTAAGCGCCTAGGCTGGCTGCGGTCTGGGTCTGTGGATGTGTTCGCTGCAGGTAGGGCTGGAGGTGTTGGAGAAGACGGACTGCAGCGCGCGCGGTCACCTCGTGACTTTTGGAGGTATCCTATCCGGCCTCGCGCCCTTCTTTCTCTCCTCAAAGTCTCCTCGTTGTTTGAGGGGAAGCCAGTTATCTAAAGGCTAAAGAAAAGCAGCGGAACAATGCTGACGCTGCTGACCTCCATGTATATTGTGGTGCGGGCAATCTCCCGACAGGTGAGTTCAAGGAGGCACACAGATCACACGAGCCGCCGCGGGAATGCAATTGACCGCACGTCTTTGAACGCACCTCGGCAGAGCAATTCTTTTATTAAAATTGAAAGACCTCAGTCTGCCTGTTAGTGTCTGTGTGAAAAGGCTCCATTTCTTAACCATTTACTACCGGCTGCAGTGGTTTACATAGGAATGCACCATAGGGCCCTAATTTGTTTTGCTACGTAGGCTTTTAAAAGTAAAAGTTTTAATAATTGACTCAGTAGACAATTAAGCGTGCAGGTAGCTTCAACAAGAGACATATTTTCTAAAGTATTTGCTCTAATTTAAATCAAACTGTGCTGTTTTTGACGAAGTGTTTACTTCAGTAAGTCAGAGAATGTTAATTAAACAGCATCCGCTTTTTCTCTTCAGAATAAAAGTCAGCACGCAAGGCTAACCGCGTTTTGTTTTATAAATATTTCATTCTAAAATCATTCTAAAATAAGCTTGGCAATGCAAATAATGTGTTTTAAAAACTATGCCTCTGTATACTATGGAGCCCCACAACTTACATGGGTGAAAAAAGAGATGTGGTGTGCGCACAAAATACTAATTTGTTCCCACAAAATATTGATTTGTTCCCACTAAATACTGATTTGTTAGGACAAAATACTAGTTTCTTACCATGAAATATTAATTTGTGCCCTGAAATACCAATTTGTTACCCAAAAATAGGAATTTGTTCCCACGAAATATTAATTTGTTCCCACTAAATACTGTTGTTACTACTAAATATAAATTTATTACCACAAAATAGTAATTTGATCCTACTAAATATTTATTTGTGTCCACTAAATAGTAGTTTGTTCCTACAAAATATTAATTTGCTCCCACAAAATATTTTGTGGTTAAAAAAAAATAAAATAAAAAATTAGTGGGAATAAATTAGTATATCATGCACACGCTGTATCTCTTTTTTTCTCGTATGTCAGTTCTGGGGCTCTGTATTCCTCTGCAGCATCTTGGGCACAATCATCTATTAAATGTGAGCTGGCATTAAAGTTATGTATTAACAACGCTCCGTATTAAAAAGATATACGTATAGCCTATGATGCAGGAAGCAAAGTAACACTTTAATTTAGGTAACCGTTTCTAGCAAATATTTAGGCTAATTTACACAGAGATAGATACGGAAGAGGATTAGGGCCACTGAAAAAAAAAAGTTAACTGATTTTTTAATTTTATTTCAGTTTAACAGAATTCTGAGATTAAAGTCAGAATTCTGACATTTTTCTCAGGATTCTGACTGAATTCTGACAATAAAAAAAAGTCAGAATTCTGAGAAAAAAGTCAGAAACTGAAATACTAAACTGAAATAAAATTTAAAAATCAGTTAACTTTTTTTTTTTTTTCCACTGGCCTTAATCCTCTTCCGTAGATAGAAGGCGTTCAGGCAACAGAACATTTCCAAGGGCGCTGAATAGTAGCGCTTTCATCTTATTTTGAAGATTCCATTTTCATGCTTCCGGTTCCTCCCCAGCGTTTGCTACCTTGTAAGCAACCGAACAAACTGCAGCTTATCAGCACCGCGGTCAGTTCCTCACATTGCTGAGCTGCTGTAGCTCCAAGTAGGAGCAGCTCGACGAAGACAGGACCTGAAAATCCAACATGGCT